GTAGAATTTGGACGGAACTTGAAACCCTATCGTAAGCAGAGAACAAGGAGCAAACTTTTATTCCTGTTCCAAAAATCGAGGATCAGCGTAAACCGGACGATAGATGAATCGATTGTCGTCTTGTTAATTTCGACAAAACATCAGAATATCTAAATTCTTTTTTTCTATTATTTTCGTAATTTCCATAAATCTAATTTGGGGAATTTCTTGACGTTTTATTTCTTCGTTTTATCTAATAGAAACTATTTAGTCAATGGGAATTTTTTTTTCCGAGGAACGCAAGAAAAAGATTTTAGTAGTTAGTAATTACAATATACTTGAACACAATGGTAATCTTATTATTTCGTATAATACAATTAATTTTGTAACATAATGTCGATTATAACAACGAGAATATTGGATTAAATTATTATTGATAATTTTATTACGTTTCGTTGAAGCGCTCAAATTCTTAGATATTACGATATAATATTGCTATATTTGCATTAACCGCACAGTGTTAGTAAACGCGAGGAAACACAATGGTTTTCAATAAGAAAATAACTAACTGGGTTCGATTTAAAGATGGAACTATTTATACCACGTTTATGCTAATACTGAGATTGTAAGTTCGAACTCGCTTTTAGATCTGTTACGTCGCCGGTAATATTAAACGTGCCATTTTCAAAGGAATTTCAAGATGATAGTCGTCTTGTGTATGCGGATAAACTACAGAAGTGGGGAGATTAAAGGGTTTGAAGACCGTGGGGCCACTTCTTAATTTGTTTTGTTCCCTAACGAAATTAAATACGGATGATTTGACTCTGAGGATTTAGAATGGCGATTCCTTTGTATAAAAATCTAAACTGAGGTAACAAAAGAAGCTCATCTGAACATTTGCTTTTGAAATTGTGATACTGCTAGTGTTCCAAAGTCGCGTCTGTAGGGGGAGGGGGAAAATGTCAGTTAGAACAACAAATATCTCCCAATACAGGACCACTTCATTGATTCTGCAATCTATGAAAGCCTGGAAAATAGGGGTTAAGTTGTTCCAGTCCTGACATGCTAGCAATTTTCCATTTCTTATCCAATTTGTCTCTTGTAATATTAGAAGCATAACTTATTTCAGATGTTCTCTGGAGGAGACGTCGGCAACGCCGGGTAACATCCGGTCCGCGATGAGTTTTCTATGCTCACCAACGTAACACCAAGGCAATAATTATCTAATTAATTTGTGGAGAAAGGAGCAGAAAAATATTAGTTGGAGTTAATCGACTTACAATGGCACGAATTTTTAAAAATGAAAATTTAATTCCGATTCCACAACTCACTTCTACTAGAAATGCTTTGCCAAGAGGCAAATATAAAAGCCTGTTGAATAATGCGAAAATCATGTGTCGTTATTTAGAAGTACATATGCGTGAGAACAACTTTTTGGAAAATGAAATATATTAAATGTCGTTTAAGGTTGGGTGATGACCACCTGGATAATGATCTGCTTTTATCATCGACCAATATTTCCCTCGATGTGAAGTTATTGAACAATAAATAAAAACAAGTGTTTCACTAAATAACATTGGTCAACATCATTTTTGGTGCCAAAAATCAAAACACATTTTTAGCTAATTTTATGGTGCTGATTCCAAAAATGCTCTTAGTTTTTCATGGTTAACTACCGTTTTTTGTGTACTGAAATTGTTCATTTTTGGAAAAAATAAGATCAATTTACGATCTTTGCTGAAATTTAGTTGATAAAGGTCGTAGAAACCCATCAATTTCCAGCTAGGCCGAACAATTTATTTTAGCCACAGGAAAAAAAAAACTATTTTTTATAAGAAAAAAGTGTTTTTGAGTCAAAAGCTTTAACATAGATGTACAGTTTTCCAATTTATCGCCAAAATTCAAATTAACTGATAAACTTTTTCAGTAATACACCTTAGTAAACCTGATAATTAAGGTATCAAAAATAATTGAAACCCTAAAATCTTCTGTTTGATATTTGTAAATTTATCTCAACACTTATCCCTTCACTATGGAAGGAAACCAAGCACATTGAGAGATTTCACAGTTGGAAAGAAACTTCAACTAAACATCTCAATTGAATTCACCTATTCCATTGTACATGATAATGCAGGAGTATCAAAAGGAACTTTAATAACATTGAAAATGACAATCAAGAAAGAGAAAATTTTTAACCAGATTTCTTATGTTCACGAAGGTTTCGTTTCTGTTGTTTATTTATTAAATAATTTGTTGAAAATACTTGTTGGTCTTGGTATATTCAATCGGGTTATTTTTAAACACTTAGGGTCTGATTGTTATCGCAAAAATAGTATTTCACTATAAGCAGACCAATATTTGTTGGTTTAAATACGAATTGAGAGGTTTCAAAATTTTATTTTGAGAAAGATTACCATCGGTCAATACAGGAAACATGAAAAATGCGTTTTTCCAAAAAAGAGGCATTTCTGTACAGTAAAAAAGGTAGCTAACCAAGAAAAAGTATGGCCATATTCAGTTTCAGCGCCCTCAGATTAGCGATTTAAAGAGGTTTGGTGTCTCGACACCATTTTAATTTTTTTTTGTTGACAGTGTAATTTGCCATTCCTAACTATTTCACTTGTAGTAAGGGATTTGCATTTTTCTGGATTGCGTTAGTTCTCCCGTTAGGGAAAGAAAATGAGGAACCATGTTTAAATAATATTACTTTAACTTTGTCGTTTATATTTCTTAAAACCTCCAAATCAAGACAACATTCTAGAAGGAGCGGTCCGTGGTCGAGATAATCTATTATATAGTACATTTCCTACCATTGTTCTCCTCCGTGATACTGCATAGCTTTCTGGCCGTTCTATCCAATAGGTTTCCGGCCCCTGCACTCGTAATTTTCGTTGTAGTAGAGACTTTGTAATCGCAATTACAACTATAGTAACTTATGACTTTTATTTGGTGTTTTAAGCAGCGGACGATCCCTTTCTTTACACTGTATGGATAGTGGGAGGTACTGTCTTTGGCACTGAACGAGCTCTTCTCTGTGGCCCGTCTTAATTTACTTAAACAAAACATGCCTGTTAACACCACCAATAAAATAAGATCAGGGGTCATAACTTGTCTACTATTCAGACATTATTATTAGAGTAGCAGCTGTAGTATTAGTAGTAGTAGTAGTAGTAGTAGTAGTAGTAGTAGCATTAATATTAGGGAGGCTTAAGAGAAGAGCGCGATTTAAGAAAAGAAAAAGGCAGTGGTTGACAATGTTAAACAATATTTCGACAGTATGTCTGTCTTCAAGTTAGATTTTTTTACTTGAAAGAAGAAAATATTTTTTTATATATAACTTGAAGATATATTGTCGAAATATGTTTTAACATTGTCAAACACTGTTTTTTTTTTTTCGGAAATCGCGCTCTAAGTAGAGAAAAATATTGGAAGATGTACGTCAATCATTTTATTTATTATTATTATTATTATTATTATTACTATTATTAGTATGAGTATTATTAGTATTGTTAGTATTAGTAACATTATTAGTAGCAATATTATTGATATTATTAGTAATAGTGTATTATTATTAGTAGTAATAGTTATTCTTAGTAGTACTGTTATTAATGTTATTAATACTAGTAATATAATTGGTGTTATTATTATTAGTAATGTTAGTAGTATTAGGGTTATTAGCATTATAATTATTATTAGTAGTAGTAGTAATGTTACTATTAGTAGTAGTAGTATTATGGGCGCGTGGCCGACTTGTTAGAACGTTCGCAATCTGACCATGATACACGGGTTCGATTCTCACAATGCTCGATTTGTCAGAAAGGAGACTGGGGGGGGTTGATCCCAGCGTGACGCACCTTTGCAAAGTGCCTGAAAACCATACCACAGCTTGACGCTAGCTTTGTGAGTAAAATTACGTCGACGGACCCTTGGGTGCCGTCGATTGCTGTGCCAGCCTTGTTCAAATTGTTGATCACGCTAGATAACCCGCTCTTTCCCAGAAACTGTAGCTAGAGTCTGCTCAGCATAGTTGCACTATAAACCACAGACGGGCTGTGTAAATGAGCCTGAACAAGCGTCTGCAATAGGGATCGGTTAGCCGGCCCAGTAGACGGGTATACTCGAATAAGATTGGCCAGCTATACATAGTAGTATTAATATTAGTAGTTTTATTATTATTATTAGTTTTAGTATTCGTATTGCTAGTAGTAGTAGTATTCGTAGCTTTGCTGGTAGTAATATTATTACTGTTATTAGGATGAATAAATATCACCACCATGATTAAGGTGAATGAGTAAAAGGTTTGTCAGTCCGTGTAATAGTAGCCTTATGCAGATACAATAAAATACCGTGTCAATATTCTGAATAATTGAGTTCATTTCAAAAGGAATTATCGATCGCTGCTGTGTTTGTATTGCGACGGTGTTTTAAAAGGGTGAAGAATGAGAAAAAAAGAAAACATTTTCAAAAGTTTAATGCAATTGTAGCATGGTCTTGGGCAAAAATTAGGTTTCGGCGGAAAAAATAATCTGACATCACTGACAAAAAGTCATAATTACATTAGTAAAACTGAGAATGGATGATGTTGATGATGATGACTAAACTAAAAAAGTGATTAAACTAATTTCGACGCATATTAAATAATAATAATCATGACGACACAGTACCAATGATAACTGTATTGTTGGGATGTTACATGGAAAAGAAATATGCAGATGTCGGATAGTTATTTGGAAATAGCCGTTGACAAAAGCTTGCCTGGTCGATCAGCGTTGATACTTCGTAATATATTGGATACAGCATGTCGTTGAACTGACATTAATCGGTTTAGTTTCGTAGAGGCGACGGATGACCAGAAAATAACTTTTTACCAGCAAGCAACAGCATATGATGTAACGATAGGTACAAAGTTTATACGAATAGCCGAAAACATATCTTGCAAACATAAAAAAAAAAATGTATTTATAAGGGTATACAAATGAAAAGATTTGAAATTGACAGCTTTTCACATTTCACTGAAACAAATGTTAAGCACTTCTTTCTTTCTTTCTTTCTTTCTTTCTTTCTTTCTTTCTTTCTTTCTTTCTTTCCTGCCTTTCTTTCTTTTCTTTCATCTCTATTTTCTCTTTCTTTCTTTCTTTCTTTCATCTCTATTTTCTCTTTCTTTCTTTCTTTCTTTCTTTCTTTCTTTCTTTCTTTCTTTCTTTCTTTCCTTTCTTTCTTTCTTTCTTTCCTGTCTTTTTTCATCTCTATTTTCTCTTTCTTTCTTTCTTTCTTTCTTTCTTTCTTTCTTTCTTTCTTTCTTTCTTTCTTTCTTTCTTTTCATCTCTATTTTCTATTTCTTTCTTTCTTTTTTCTTTCTTTTCTTCTTTCTTTCCTGCCTTTCTTTCATTTCTTTCTTTCTTTCTTTCTTTCTTTCTTTCTTTCTTTCTTTCTTTCTTTCTTTCTTTCTTTCCTGTCTTTTTTTCATCTCTATTTTCTCTTTCTTTCTTTCTTTTTTTCTTTCATCTCTATTTTCTATTTCTTTCTTTCTTTTTCTTTCTTTTCTTCTTTCTTTCCTGCCTTTCTTTATTTTCTTTCATCTCTATTTTCTCTTTCTTTCTTTCTTTCTTTCTTTCTTTCTTTCTTTCTTTCTTTCTTCTCTATTTTCTCTTTCTTTCTTTCTTTCTTTTTTCTCTTCTTGTCTTTCGTTCATTTCTTTCTTCATTTCTTCCTTCTTTTTTTCTTTCTTTCTTTTTTTCATTTTTCCCCTCTTTTTCTTTTTTTTTCTTTCTTCTCTTTCTTTCTTTTCCCGTTGTTTCTTTCTTTCACTGAAACCAAGTAGCGTCACTAATATATCAAGCCATTATTTATAAAGTATTGGCAGGGCGTAACGACCATGTGAACTAAAGAACTAACGAAGGGAGGTACAAGCAGAATTATAATAAGTATGCACCATTGCAATAAGACGGAAAGTTAAAAAATGATTTTAATACTATTAAGAAATGGGAATGACTGTGGACTACAAAATGATAAAATTCATATGGAATTCACAAAATAAATCAGTAGGACGTGTTCAGTTTCTCACCAGTATTAATTAAAATGATATAAAACACACTATTTCCTAATATATCTCTTTGTCTCTGTCTGTCTGTCTGTCTCTAATCAGTATCTGCCACACGCTTAAGCGATCATGTATCTTTCGATATATGACTGACAAGGCAGATCCCCCCGCGCGTAGTTTGCCATATTTTCTGCTATCCAAGTACAGAACCCGGTTTATCCTGCTATTTGCTCATAGCTGGGCAGTGCGATGAAAAAGAGTATTCATACCTTTCTTAAGTGTATTAGCATGTAAGTGAATGTAATGGATCTGACTGAAATTCGAACTCGGCTCTTCGATTTCTTAATCCGGGACGCTATCCATTACCCCACCGTAACTACAGACCATGCTTACGTGCTAAACAGAGCTTAGTACATATGAAAAAATGGTATGCATATTCTAAAAATAGCGTTGCTCCCAACTTCCAAGTGAAAAAGACCTGCTTGCCGCAAACATCGACATTCGAATCCTGGCCGCTTTTAAACGGATTCGAATTTTTTTCGTTTTTTACTCTTTTCCCAATTCAAGACCAAATCACGGGTTACTAAATGAGTTTTTCGTATGTAGATACAAGGCACTAATAGATTTCAAGAGATTGATATTGTAATGATTCGGAGAAGCATCATCGCAGGTATGCAGAAAATAAAAAAAAGAACACGTTGGGTGCATAATCCGGGGTTCCTTAGTATTTTGTTTTTATTTTTAAGAAGACAGTGCTCCATACAGAAGTAGAGCTTATATTATAATATTTTTTTTTGTTTAAAAATATGATTCCTTCGCTACATAAGAGTTCTCATGTTTCAAAAACGAGAGCCGAAACCATCCAAATAATTATTAAAATTAAGTTGAATTGAGGTGTTTAGTCCCGTTTCATCCTCAAGCAAAATTTTAGGAATGAGCTATCTCTTGGTTTACGTGTGTTTTTAGGCATGGTCCGTTATAACATTCGTTATTGTGGGAGTAGCTAGGCTAGTTTTCTTCGTTAAGTGGTCAGAGAGTTAATTCTTATCTATAGATTCAACATCTTCTAAGAGGTTTTGCTAAGATTGGGTAGGGTATCTATTTCAAGGCTAATGTTGGTGGTCATCCTTTAGTTGGTTCCCAGTGTGGGATATTTTTATGGCGCGCCTACAAGTCGTTATGTGTCGGGAGGATTGTGTTTTATGATTGTCCATCTGATTATCTATTTATTTATTTGTTATTCAAGTGGGTGTTTTATATACAAACCGTATTGCACTGAATTTCAATTTGTTTTTTGACGACTACAGAAAGGGTTTTTCCTATTTAATGATTTGGCTAAGCTTTTAAACTCTTTTTAAACTATGGGATTTTTTTTTATGCTAATTAAATAAATGCGAAAATTTGTTGATGTCGGCAAAAAACCGTTAACTCTTGCCTATGGTTTAATAATTTTTCATTATTTAGAAATTTAATGTGTAGTTTTTCCTGTAGGCATAAAGGGCATGGGTCATCCCAGGTTTTACAAGTTCTTGTTTTATTTACTATTTTCCATTTTACTATTAGTGTTTTATTCGTTTCTTTTAGATGCCAGAAATATTGGGATAGAGATGTCTGATTTTTATTTTGAATATTGTTGAAGGAGCTCTTCTGATGCCTCCATTTAATTTTAAAAATTACTCTTCGTTGAGCCTATGTATATCCTATCAGTGTTAGGACTGTCCATGGATGAGATAGTGCATTGGTATATCACGGATTTTGTGAGGCATTTATTTTCCAACGAGCAGTCTTTAGGGTTTCTACAATCACATAATTTTTCGTTATTTTTAGCTTTATATATATATATATATATATATATATATATATATATATATAGATAGATAGATAGATAGATAGATAGATAGATAATTAGTATGGATAATTCCAAGGAGGATATTAATCCAAAGAGAGGCCAATGTAAGACAAGAGTAATATAATGATGAATACAGACATTACATCCATCTCTTGAGGGATGTAAAGTCCATGAAATAAATTATATCCAAATGTATTTTTAAGGATTCTGTATTCATTATATATGTATATATATATATATATATATATATATATATATATATATATATATATATATATATATATATATATATATATATATATATATTACACCATTTTCATATTGACTTTATGTTTATACATACGTTACGTTACTACTAACAAAATACATAGGGGATTGGTTTAATAGTAAAATAAAATCTTTTTTATTATCATTTCTATTCGGAAAATTATTTCCTTCACACTCAGTCATGACTTACGTTCTAGTAGATTTGTTTCATTATTCGTGGTGAAATGATTTAGAATTAAATTGTAGTGATAGAAAAGTAATAAGTTCACTATTAAAAAAAAAACAAACAAACTTGTTTTGCCATAAAGAAATAAGAACAAAAATATAAGAAAAAATAAAAGAGGTGAAAAGGTCATCTTTCCTAAATGTACAAGAAAGAAGGGATGGTCCAATGAAACTTCTATAGTTGATTTTCGTTGATATCTCCAAACCGTAAATCGCAGTTTTTTTTTTTTTTTTTTTTTACTGATAACCATCTTTTGTCTTTTTGCCATTGATGGCTAGTCCTTTTTTCTCACTTTATCCTACTACTATGTCTAGGATGAGCGGTAGTTTTTCCTTGTCAGTCATCAACACAGTATTATCATGTGAAACGATCAGATATCAAAATAGAATTCTAGAATGAATTCTTTGTCTCAAACACCAAAAGATGACCAGGCATAGGAACCAGAAAGTCGATGAAATGGTTTTGGCCGTTCTTCCATGCCTACATTTTTGGACACCTAATAATTCCAGAGAGTCTAAAAGATAACAATTATCAACATGAAACCTACCTACATATATATTTACAAAGACACTCCTCTCCCTCTCTCTCTCTCCGTTTTCTCTGTCTGTCTGTCTGTCTGTCTCTCTCTCTCTCTCTCTCTGTATTATATGCTAAAGGACTTTAGATGCTCATCAGGAGAACTGATAAAAACTTACAATCTCTTTAAATATTATATATTTTATTTTAAGAGACACAAAATATTCTCAGTACAGTATATTTTTGTACTAATTATCTGCGCATGTATTTTTAAAAGGGCAGAATTTGGTGTATGTACGGATTAATGACGTTATTCGAAGATAACCCCAACATAAGCCCCACTTATATGCTTCTGAAAGTTTTAAGTGAGATTAAGTGTCTATTCTCTGTAGCTAGAGATGAAATATCAACTGTTTTAAGTTTTTTTTTTCCTTTAAAAGTAAAAACAATTGAATAAAATTAGAGATAAAATTAAAAGAAAATAACAAATAATAAATACTGGATAATTTTTTACTACTAGATTTTCTTGATGCGTGTTGAAATCATCACAGTATTTTTGAAGATATCGTCATCATTTTTTTGCCGGGATTTACAAATTCGACATTTCGTTCAATTTAGCAAACCAATCGATGAAATTTCAATAAACTGATTTG